GTGACAAAAGCATATTAGAGAAGAAATAAGTCCCGTTTTGTTTTTTGAGGCAAGGGCACCGCCATCTTGTAGCACCTGTAGCACTGAGACAGAAGAAGACAAAAAGGAGGCCACTATTGTATTGCTCCAGGCTGTAAAAATGAGTTTTATAGGGTGAAAGCCAAGGACAAAACAGTCAATTTCCATAAACTGCAGCTGAAACGGAGAACCCTAGTATTTACATATATTAATGTTATAATTAAAAACACAAAATAAAACTGTGATTCAACCAGCACTGCAACCAGAACTGGTACGGGCATGGAACCAAAATAAATTACCTCAAACCACAACTGCAAAAAAATAGAGGAAACACTCAATACTTTTCTATGCTTGGTTATTGTAACAATAACAACAAGTGTTTAGGTATATGATTCTTTAATATGCTTTAAACAAATAGGAAGCAAGTACCAATTCTTTTGAGACTGTTAACATCATTTGGGTACCTAAAAACTGTAAATTTGTGTTTACAGGTTAGGCAGACATGCATGCATCTGTTGGCCAGCAGCAAATTCCCAGCGGTTGACATCAGTAAGGAGAGCGAGCGGGAGAGAGAGCAGGAGAGAGGCAGTGTCCCAACCCTGACAGTCAGTGTCAGTACACAGACTGACACATTTGAGCAGGATAGAGAAGAGGGAGGAGGAAGAAGAAAAATGTCTCACAGGAGAGAAAAAGCATTGTGTCGACAGGAGAAGCTCTTTCATGTGTGCCATTGGGAAAGTTGTGGCAAATGTTTGGTGAGACCACCTTCATATGGAACCTACTCACTCCTGGACATCAAGTGGAACTTGGTGGTGGCACAGGAAACTGTGAAAGTCACAGAGGTGAAGAACAGTTATTGGCTTGAGGTAGAAGGTCTGGAGAGGTGCCTTTCCCACTTGAGGCACTATGATGTTTAGTTTTGGCAACCGACTGCCACCCATCAGTGCAGAAAGCCCTGCGTCTGGAATATAAATCCATAAAGCATGAGTGTGACCTCTGGCACATTGTCAAAAACGACTGCTTCAGTGCCACAACGAGGAGTCCACCTCTGGTTTTGTGTCACAACATGTGAGGGAAGTGTGACGAAGCTGAAAGAAAAGTGGATCTCAGTCCTTCATCACGTTACCAATGTGCATTACTGGGTGTCTGGTGAGACAATGACCCAGTGTGAGCACCCTACTTACACCCCTGAGGAGGAGAGTCAGCATCCATGGCTCCTCCCTAACTCTGCTGGCTTTCAGCACTTGCAGAAGATAGTGCTTGACAAGCTGCTCCTAAAGAAATTAGGAAAAACAACACTGGGCATTCACACAGGACAGCTGGAAAGTCTTCACTACTTGTACACAAAGTACACCTTCAGGAAGAACATTGTGGCAGGAGTGATCATTTCTATTGTTAGATTGTTCTGATGTTTGAATCCCCACCACCCATCCTATTTTTACTGTTCAAAGCACCTGTGTGTATATGTTAAATCTTAAATTATGTAGTTTCTCTATCCCACCTGGAATTAGTCTTTTTCAGAGGTTGTTGTGGGTGTGGATTTCCCATAACATAAACAATAACAATATTAGCACCAAGTCAGAGCTCAGTTCAGTGTCACAGAAGCTCTTGTCATTCAATCAATATGCTCAAAATGATTATTTTTGTAATCATGTAATGTTTTCATTTGTATTTGTGTATTAGAGCAACTGAGCCTTCAGCAATAACCCTTTTGCATTATGCATTGCATAAAACATTATAATTCATACTAACCGCCACAACGTCAACCTGAAGAGATGGTGAAAGAGAAATGTATTAGTTATATTTAGTATAGTCATGTACTCATACATTTCTGTTGGCTATTCATGCAGTCTCAAGTTATTCCAAATTAAGTTCATGAACTCATTGTCTGTTTACATCTGGTTGTATTTCAAATGATTGAATTATATTATTGTATAACAATTAATGATGGATTAATATGTTAATCACTTTAATGTTGGTGGTGAAGGTATAGCTAATTTGAACTACTTTGCTACTGCTGGGTAGTTTGTAAATGATAATAATACATCATAATGATATTTTGTATTATAAATATGAATCTGTAAAGTGACTAGTAACTAAAGCTTAGAATCTGTAAATGGTCTCCA